TAAATATCACTAAACCATGTACACGTCGACTTATTTTTACTTAAAAAACATTCCAGAATTACACAAAAATGGCATTGCGCACACTCTTCACTATATCCATGTACACTGCTTTTTTTCTCATAAATTAGAAAATTTCACGAAAATACATGACAATTTTCTGAATCTTTAAACCCGGTAAAAAGACATATATGAAATTACCTGATAGCGAAAAAGTACATACCCTTTCCAAATATGAACATTTCCCCGTATAAAATAAATAAAATATCCAAAACTTTTACCTCTACATTATCTATTATATTACAAACGTCACTAACTAATTCATACCTTTATTTCATTACAAATGGTTACAAATACTTAGTGTCAAATATTTAAATTATTTCCATGCACGTTTACGCAAATTACTTTACTTCCACCTTACATTTAGAACAATGCATAAAAATAATATCCTCAAATAATTAAAAATACTAACTTACCTATTCTTCTTCAGAATCTTGATTACGTGTCCGATAAACTTTTCTTATTTATGGTTTCAGGATCTTTAAAATCATACTTATAGTTCACACCAAGGTACCAGGTAAAATAAATAACTTAATAAAACATCTTTACTTCTATCTCGCACAACCTTAAAGAAACACTTATTACCCCTTTCAATCCCACTAAATACCCATTTCGAATTCACTTTAGTTAGGGCCATGGGATCCAAAAATTAACGAACACTGTTTCACACAACACAGAATAAAGGCAAATACAAAATTTCCAGATTTTTTCCTGATTCGACCCCATTTCTGATTAAAGAACCGTAATTCGTCCATTAATATCACATGACATATCCCATGATCTCTAATTTCCCTCACACAAAATAATGTGCAATCGGAACTGAGTACTGCTCACATTATTACCAAAGTCCCAGGTAGTAACCTTTATCGCCTCCAAAATGTCGCCAAACTACCAGTTACCATATACCATATTGTAAAGATCAGCCGAAAAATCTTCACTGCAGTCTTAAGACTCAAACATGAACAAATAACAAAAATACACAAACACAGAATAATAACCAAAATACATATTTCCTAACATAAAATCATTAAACAACAAACCTTTCAAAAAAAATTAACATACAAGCACCAATAAATAAATAAAACTTAAATTCTTCAATATACCTTTTCTTCATGTGCAGACGTTAATGCCTCCCACCAGCATCCTGTCTACGTAAGCAATTCAATTAAGTGTCTAGTTTTTTTCGGCTCATCCACTGTTAATAGCAGATAAATCTGTTCCTTCTGTTTTATGTACTCCTTCCAAAAAATTATTAGTCGTATCCGAAATAATATACTCGTAAGCACTTCCGCAGAGAACCCGGTAAATATAAACATCGCCAACTTTGGCGATAATAGTTCAAACCTGGTAACCCACCGGACTTATGCTATTCGCTTGTTCGAAATTTGCAACCATTCCTCTTGCCTTCACTTTGTTGAATTATCACTGTCGTTGTTCGCATTTGCAGATTTATATTATTATTCTCTTATTTATTATTATTTTTTCTGAATTTTTTAACAACGAATAGATAGAAATATTTTAGTAGATAGATGCCGGTTCTCGGTTCGGGATGAAAGGAAGAAAATACGGCGGGATGGGGTGAATGCTAATTTGTAACACTGCTGTTCATGTTGTGTTCTTAATTATCAACAGCTGTAAGCATGCAGAACTATGAGGTTTCCAACTCCTAAAATAATTCGTAGGCCACAAAAATATGCATGTGCATTTTAAATAATTAAGTAATGCTTTTATTTTTATTATTGATTATTGTCATCTAAAATTATGAGAATAAATCAATTTTCATGGCGTAAAATTTTAACAAGATAATATATTGTTAATGCTTTTCGAACAATAACCTTTCAGAGGATGGTAGGTGTGACATAAAAAGATGATTAAATTGAAATAAAAAATATGATTCATTATCTAAGATGACAGAATAGTTTCATGCATCACCATGGTCATCAAAATTAGCAAACCACTGCTGGTGTAAGGAATATATTGTTTTCTGTGTTAACTGGAATTTAAGACAATTTTTTTTCGTTTATCACGTTTAACCGGATAATTTCAGTACATTAATACTAATTTATACTTTTTATTTCTGTTATAAATGCTTATATATTGTCTTATGCTTAATATATTGTTTTCTGTGCCAACTTGAATTTAATAAAAATTTATTTTCGTATATCACGTTTAACCGGTTAGTTTCACATCTACATGCTTATTATCTGTGAATTTTTACTACCATATGCGTAATATATTGTTTTGTCTGCTAACTTCAATTTACATGCACTAAAAATCATGTTTACGGCTCGGCTCATCGCCGATGAACCGCGAGGTTGGTGAGTAAAAATGCAACGGCGCCAACGGGTTCTCTGCGGATGAAAACCCATATACTCAATTATAACACTAAGCAAACTTTCAGGCACCACTTTCATAAAACATTACGCATGTGCAACCAAACACAGCAATTCAAAATCTCTGGTCTATACAAAAGGATTACTATTACAAAAAATAGCCAAAATCTCAACATTGTCTGAATCTTTGAATTTGAATCTTTGAATCAACATTGAATGAGTCTTGGGGGAATATTATGAAAAATTCGTAATATTCCCCCAAGACTCATTTCACCAACTTTATTAACATAAGGGTTATCAAAAAAACTACTTCATGCAGCAGCTTCCAGATGGCGATTTTTTCAGATAGAAACTAAGCGGAACAATACAGTAAATTTCCTTGTGAATTTATGTGGCGATGCCAGTATACAGATCCTAGTTCAGATAATTTTAGGAAGTTTTGTAAGACTGTCAAGATATTTAGCTTAACTGGAGACAAGGAAATTTATAAATAAGGTAAGTGGATATTTTCTTTGTGTAACGCTAAGACGAATTTTTTATGTTATTTAATTTTTTTTATTTAAAATATAGTTTATTGAGATCATAAATGTTGTATGAACTTAAATCCATTTAGTGCGAATACAAGTTATAATATACTTACCAGTATGGATGCACACTTTTAAATAATTCTACTTTAATTAAACTTAGGAATAATATAATCAATTAATCAATACTGTTTAGGAATAAATATATATATATATATATATTTGCCTGCTCCTTTGACTTTTTAAGTGAACATAGATCGATGTGTATATGGACAAAGTCAAGGGAGTGTGCAATGTCTAGTTTGTGCAATTCTCTGATTTTTTTTAAAAGTGGAAATAGGTTGATGTGCACACGGATACTGAGTTTGTGCAATTCTTTGACTTGTTATTTTCGATTTGCTTAGTGGAAATTTTTTGGCACGGAAATAGGCACTACACAAAGCCAAAAGAACAAGTCAATGAATTACACAAGCTCGGAATCCATGTATTACCGAAAATCGCCAAGGAGCACTCGTAAATATATTTTTACCATTTTCCTTGAATTAAAACCATAAAAATGGTGACAAAATGCCAAATGTTACTAGTTTCTCTTCAGTTCCAACGTTGCATTATTATGGGAATCATTTGAGATATTTTTTTATGCTTGAGACATAATGATAATTTTTGAAAATGTTTGAACACTGACAATGTTGCAAGTAGAACACAGATTTTTTAAAATTTTGTACACAAATGTTCATGCTTATAAAGTGTGCATCTCAGGAAATTAAAAATTCAGTTTCTTTCAACACTGGATAAAAGACATAAAACAGTTATTGAATAAATATCTACTATATCCAAGTTCCTTACCTGCAGAGAAATAAAATTTCCAAACTGATTCATTTCTCCAAATATCTTCTTATTTACTTCACAAACATAGGACTGCTGTACTTGGTATGTCCAGAATTTGATTGAATATATCCTAGACCTCATTTATAATCCTCCAGTATAATATGAGAGAACGTTATACTTGTTTTTACGAATATTATGCACTTGACACATTTGATATTGCAGCTGGACAGTCATACTGAGAATATTTACTAACAATAGATTTAATTAGATAAAAAGTATGTAAAAAATGAAATTATGTAATTTGACTGCAGGTTTTCAGTACTTCATCACAATAAAAGAAATCACCTAATATATTATGTCACTAAAGATACAAGAAAGACATCTCTATCATTAATTCAATAGCTTTGATTGGTTAAACTAAGAAAGGTTTTTAACACAAAGCACATAGAAGTTACAGTACCCATATGTGATAAAACATATAGCCATGCTTCAGAATTGCAGTATCAGAAGTATGGCAGAGTTGTAAGAAGCATACGAACAACACAGTGATTTTGGTAGTTAAGAGATGTAACACTGAATACAAATTATACAAAAGCTGTAAAAAGCACAATCCAGTGTCAAAGATTCAAATTTGGGAAAGATTGGTATACACAGCTTCAGACCATTTAGGACAAGATAGTAGCAAATGTAGCTTAAAGTTAGTAATACTTAAAAAAGAACTTCAGACATATCTTGCAAAAATTAACTTTTTTCTCTTTCAGAAAGAAATAAGTTATTTATTCCTTATTTGTATCAAATGACAATTTACAAACTGCGCACAGGGTCACCAGCACGTTTCATATAATACGCTAATAATGACTTTAAATCTAAAATTCTGCCCGTGAATTCCAAGAATTTTGCCACCACTTAATACTGACAACTGTTATGAATTAAACTGACTTGACCACAAAAGATGAGTTTCCTTTGCCACATACATAAATCTTTACTACACTGATCAACAAATGTTGATACTAATTTAACATCTCTTCAAAAGACAGAAGGCTTCTCTTCTCTGTAGATCAACATACATTTCTTCAAATTATTCTACACTCCAAATAGGTTGTTACATACATAACATGAGAAATTTCTCTATTCTGTACATATGCATATTTATTTACATCTTACTAAAAATTAATTTTTACATACACACAAATTTTCTCTGTCGTCTGAATTTCCATATGCCTGTTAAGATTTAGCATTTTGACTAAAGGAGTTTTTATATACGAGAATTTTCTCCATTGTGAATAAGCATATGAGTCTTTAAAGAAACCTTATGTCTAAATGACTTCTTACATACTTCACAAACATGATGTTTCTCTCCTGTGTGAATAAGCATATGAGTGGTTAAAGAGCCCTTCAGTCTAAATGACTTCTTACATATTTCACACTGATGAGGTTTCTCTCCTGTGTGAATAAGCAAATGAGTGTCTAAATTAAACTTCTGACTAAATGATTTCTTACATACTTCACACACATGAAGTCTCTCTTCTGCATGAATAAGGATATGCCTGTTTAAATAAGACTTCTGTTTATACGATTTCTTACAAAATTCACACACATAGAGTTTCTCTTCTGTGTGAATAAGCATATGTCTGTCCAAATTACTCTTTTGACTGAATGACATCTCACATACTTCACACACATGAGGTTTCTCTTCTGTGTGAATAAGCATATGCCTGTACAAATTTCCCTTTTGAGTGAATGACGTCTTACATACTTCACACACATGAGGTTTCTCTGCTGTGTGAATAAGCATATGAGTGTCTAAATTACACTTCTGATTAAATGACTTCTTACATATTTCACACACATGAAGTCCTTCTTCTGCGTGAATAAGCATATGCCTGTTTAGATAAGACTTCTGTTTATAAGAGTTCTTACAAAATTCACACACATAGAGTTTTTCTTCTGTGTGAATAAGCATATGTCTGTCTAAATTACCCTTTTGACTGAATGATGTCTTACATACTTCACACACATGAGGTTTCTCTGCTGTGTGAATAAGCATATGCCTGCACAAATTACCCTTTTGACTGAATGACGTCTTACATACTTGACACACATGAGGTTTCTCTCCTGTGTGAATACACAAATGAGTATCTAAATCACACTTCTGACTAAATGATTGCTTACATACTTCACACATATGAAGTCTCTCTTCTGTGTGAATAAGCACATACAAATTACCCTTTTGACAGAATGACATCTTACGCATATTTACCTTTTCAACTAAATGACATCATACAAATTTCATACACAAGAGGTTTGTGTTCAGTATGGACACGCATGTGCTGTTTTAAAAATTACCTCTTGAAAATGATCTGTTATCTTGGAATAAACTATGAATTTAGAACATGAATCTAGAAAATCCTCCTTCTAGAATAGGCAATTTTGCACTACATTGATAACTTTACCATTCCTGATATACTATAACTTGCTACATACCCCATGATGAATTTTATCCTCTGAAGAGAGGTAAAATGGAGTGCTTAAAAAACATTTTGGCAAAAGTTGTTCTAAGATGGTTCACTCTATGTCTTGTGAAAATCCGCGTGCTTTTCTTGATAAACGAATCAACACAAATTATTCATAAGAAGCTGCTTGATATAAGAATACCTTAAGAATGCCTTGATTTCCAATAATGCTTCACTGAAAATTAATTTCGTTCTTATCGTTCACAAAAATACGACTTCTGGCCCGAGCATATACACATGTTTTGAAGCAGTTACATGTAACGTTAGAAAATTAGTAACAACTGTTAATGCTCACATGGGAAAAAGTAATCGGCTTTTCAAGCTTTGAATACTAAAAAGTATGAATCACACTTGAGCATGAAGAAGACTAGACTTTAATTAAAGACTCACATCGTAGTTTTAAAACAGTCACTACCATTAAAAAACAATAACTGCGATAATTATTCAAATAATAAAATCAGTTTCAACGAAAACAAACTATATTATAACGAAAGAAAACAATACCAAGATAGAACTTTCTAAAACTTATACGTAAATATTTATTATTATTGCCATGCACAAATTACTAAACTATGCTAGCAAAAAAAATCTAAGTAAGGCTTGTTTAATAGCAAAGAAATTTAAAATTCAAAAGGATGACATACATTCCATAAACTTCGTTCACGCACATGGACCTTATAAGAAATAGATTAACCCAAATGGGTCTTCTCCCTCGTCTGAGGCGTTCCCGGCTGTCACCTTGATCACATCCGGACAAGGAGGTTAGAATAGGACCTTGATCACATCCGGACGCGTATTTCCAAACCCTACCCCACTTTTCGAATTTTTGACGTCATGGACAAATCGAGTAGTTTCGCCTGGATGGTAATTCTTGAGCATGCGCTGAAGGGCGAGAAGTAATATAAACAGAACTTTGGCTTGCGCTTGTAAACATGTTAGTACACCAGTCACATTAATGACCCCACTACTTCGATGTCAACGTGAATAACCAATCACAGGCAGTGGCACCATGGTGGAGATATAAAGGGTGTCCGAGAGAATCATGCAATTTGCAGTGGAGCAGCGGTAAGGGTAGGTTGTCTGTCGACGTTGCTCTTTCCACCTGCGAGTTGCACCTGCGTGTTCTACCCGTACTTGGATGACGTGTTTTCCCGCCTCGGTGTTGGAGATCGTCTGCGTTTTCGCTTTGTGGTTGCTTATCTTGTGCCACTGATCGTTCATCACTGAATTGTTGGATTTCGATCCTTCGATTTTTTACTGTTTTGGATTGTTACTCTTTAGCTTTGACTATCAGTGCTGAAGACAAGGGCCTTGTGAAGTCCCGCCGGCTCATCCAGAACACCTTCGTGTGGGTCTGGTTCCGGAGCGCCGGACTCCATTAATTTGCTTATGAATGATGGAACCATTTTTGAAAGTTTTTGCGGCTACCGTTGAGGAGCTGAGTGTTAAGAAACAAAATGGAAATCTTTCTATCAAAGAAGACAAAGAATTTGATCTACTTCAAAAAGTGTATGATGCCTTAATTACTGCTCACAAAGAAATTGAAGAGTCATTAGAACATCAAGAAGAAACTCCTTCTACACCTACAGAAAGTGAATGGAAAATTGTCAAGAGAAAACGTATGAAAGGCTCACCTAATAAGCCAAATAAAGACAATTCAAACTGAAATTCCTTTCGAACAAGAAACGGATAGTTCAGGTAACGAAACTGAACAAAAACCCAAAGGAGATCGTAGTGTGGGTAAAAGGAAAAAGGGTCATTTTCGTCCCATTAATCCTTCTCAGCTCAAACCAGTTGTTACTCCTTCCATTAATAGTCAAGAATCAATGGACACTAGTTCTGTTGTTCCAAATGAATCTCAGATAAATGAAGAAATACAAAACGATCAAAACAAAAAAGGCAAAGCGCCACCTGCCATTTATATAAATGATAAAAAATTTGATTGGAAAGAACTAAAAGCGTTATTTGCAGAACATAAATTATCAGACAAATCTGATTACACAGGTTACATTCAAAAAGAAGGCTTTAAAATTAAAGTCTCTCATGTCAACATTCATAGAGAAATGACAAGTATTCTGAACAAAAAGGAAATTAAATATCACTCCTTTCTCTTGCCTGATGAGAAGAATCATAAAGTGGTCTTCCGTCATCTTACAATGGACACAGATCCTGATGAAATCAAAGAAGAACTTTTAAGCAAAAATTACGAAGTTATAAGTGTCAGTCAACTCTCTCGTAGATTTAAAGGAGAAGTTAAAAAATTTCCACTTTTTCTTATCACTCTGAAGAAAAATGAAAAATCTAAAGAAATTTCTAAAGAAACCAAAATTTGTGGATTACATATCAAAGTCGAACCATATAAAGGACGCTCTGGCCCAGTCCAGTGCTTCCGATGTCAAGGATTTCACCATTCACAAGCTGCTTGCCACAATGACTTTAGATGTGTTAAATGTGGTGATAACCATGACTCAAGAACCTGTCAAAAAGACAAGAATGCACCTGCTAAATGTGCAAATTGTGGTCTAGACCACACAGCTTCATTTAAAGGTTGTGAAAAGTTTCCGAAGCAAGCTAAAAAAGAACAAATCAAATCATATGCTGATAGGTTTATTATCAATAAGTCTTTTGCTGAAGCCATCAAAAGCTAATAACAATCCTTCTCCAAATCTTATTGCAGAAGCAAAAAAGATATTTGATGACCTTAATACTCTAGTCACCTTCCTGAAAAACTCAGGAATACAACTCCTTGCGCAAAACATCCGTCAAAATGCCACTAATACAGTATCAGATGAAACTAATTCTGACCAGCATATTCAATAAGTCAGATTCGCTTAAACTTTGCTATTGGAATGCTGCTGGCATTGTTAACAAAATTGATGAACTTTCGGACTTTTTTATAGAATATAACATAGATATTGGCATGATCTCTGAAAAAACGCATGTTGTTCCTGCCGATAGACTGTATATTGCTAATTATCGCACCTACAGAGGTGATAGACTTTCACAAAGAAGAGGAGGAGCTGCAATTTTTGTTAAAAACTCTCTGCAATCCTGTCTTGTCTCGACAAACTCTGCTTCTGGATTCGAAAGTGTGACTGTTGCTGTTATACTCCCACAATTTGGTACCATCCATTTTACGGCTATTTATAATCCACCACGAAATCGACTTTCTGAAAATATGTTAAAAAACTTACTTCCTGAAGATCAGCAAGTTATTATTGCCGGAGACATGAATGCTAAGCACCTCGAATGGGGATGTCGTCGTTCTAACACCAATGGACGTATTATGCATAATTTTATCTGCAATCATCCTGTCGCATTACATGTACCTTCTGAAGCCACTTATCGTCCTGCCTCTCCAAATCTCTCGGACATCTTGGATATTATCCTTACAAATACTTCTATCCCTATTTCCTTGGAAGTCAAGGCAGAACTTACATCTGATCATGTACCTGTCATTGCTTCTCTTGGTGTTTCTAAAGAAGACCCTCCTATTACCAGAAATAATACTGACTGGATTACTTTTCACAATATCTTAATCAAACATCCTCCTATTTTCACTTCACTTTCTACCAAACAGGATATCGATCTTGCCATTCATATCTTCACTGACAGTATACTGAAAGCTTTCAGAGATGCTACAGTTACCATTCAATTAACTAACAATAATATTCGACTTCCTCGCAGTATCAGAGACATTATCAAAGAAAGAAACCGATTGCTGAAGCTTTGGCACCGTAACTGGGACCCTGCCCTTAAAAGAGAAATCAATATTTTTAATAGAAGAATCAAGAACTTATCACTGATTTTAAAAAGGAAACAAGAGAAGATTTTATATCTAAACTTAATATTAATGATGGTTCTCTGTGGAAGTATCTTCAAAATCTTAAAAGAAGTAGTATTAATAATAGACCTATTCATACGGATACTAAAATTGCCTACTCACTTAAAGATAAAGTCGATATTTTCGCTGAATACCTGGAAAAGCAGTTTACTCCTAATATGGAGCCTATGAATCAGACCTTTAAAGATGTTCTCGAAAACTATGTGTATTCCTGGCTTCATTCTTCTTCGGCTCATAACATCCCAAGGCTTACTTCTCCTATGGAAATTACTAATATTATTAAATATCTCAACATCAAAAAAGCTCCTGGAAGTGATCAAATTACAAATAAAATGCTTCGTAACTTACCTAGAAAACTTATCAGTAAATTCGCTAGTATTCTCAACGCTTGTCTTGCTCTCAACTATTTCCCTGATCCTTGGAAGCAAGCCAAGATCTTTCTTCTTCCCAAACCGGGTAAAGATGTGACCAAGCCTGATGGCTATCGTCCTATCAGTTTGTTATCCAGCCTTGGTAAAATTTATGAAAGACTTATTCTCACTAGATTGGAACCTTTTCTTCACCTGCTACCTAATGATCAGTACGGATTCAGAAAAAACCTCAGTACTACTCGACAACTAGTAAGAATTGTAGAATTTGTGGGATCTGCATTCCATAACAAGCAAAGTGTTGCGCTCCTTATGCTGGACGTGGCAAAAGCCTTTGACCGCGTCTGGCATGAGGGGCTCGTCTTCAAGCTTATCAACTTGGGACTTCCTAGAGAGCTCATTCTTCTGATCTTCTCCTTTTTGCAAAACCGCACTTTCTTCGTCGCTCAAGGAAATGAAAAATCCAATTCAAGACCTATAAGATCCAGCGTCCCACAAGGAAGTATTCTCGGTCCAGTACTATATCTTTTCTACATATCAGATTTTCCTCACCCTGGTTTGGACAATTACTCTCTGTTAGCATGTTATGCCGACGATACGGCGATTGCAATTAAATCCATTCAAGCTAATCATGCAATAGACAAAATGCAAAATTACCTCTATGCCGTAGAAGACTGGTGCACAAATTGGCGAGTAAAAATCAATGCTAGCAAGTCACAACTTTTAATTCTTAGCAAAACTAAGAAAAACATTGCTTTTAAAGACCTCTACCTTTTTCAGGAAGCTGTTCCTCTGGTCACAAAGGCCAAATACTTAGGAATTATTTTGAACCAAAGGCTCACATGGTCTAATCACATTAATAGTGTCAAGAGCAAAGCCATGGGCATAATATGCAGATTTCTCCCGGTCATTGGAAAATATTCAAATCTTAGCTTGCGTACCAAAAAACATATATATACCACTTGCATTCGACCGATACTTTGTTATGCTGCTCCTGCTTGGAACACGGTCACTCAAACTCAACTGCATCAATTACAAGTAGTGCAAAACAAATTTCTGCGCATTATTACTGATTCTCACTATCTTATCCGCAATAAACTTTTACACAGAGACTTAAAACTTGAGACGATTCCAGATTACATCAGAAGATCTAATGAAAAATTCTTCAACAAAGCTGTGCAATGTGACTTTGTTAATTACTACTCCCAAGTTTTTAATTATGAAATTCTCTTCGAAGATAGAAGCGTCAGACCACTTGCAGCTCACACCTTCATGGGAGGAGACGACAACTTTTTCACTTAGATCCTCAATTGTTAGCTATTTACACT